GGAATCTTGGCGTCCTTGTTAATGTGAGTCTATTAGGATGGCACAGTGCCTCATCATAATTTGGCTGGATCTTTGCCCTGTTGCGGCATAGATGCCAATTAGTTATTTGTTGGTTATGGCCTGTGGGACACCTTGCTCTGGCTCACACCTGTTTGCTTTTTGTGCCAGAAAGGAATTCATGCACACAGGAAGAAAAGTCACAATGAGGATGTGTATAACATTACCTGTCTAACATATTAAACAAATAAACATGTTAGAAACAAATCTTCAGTTGTTTGTTTTAGACAGAATTAAAAACAATTGCCTTCTGCTTCTGTATTTTAATTTAAAATTTTAAAATATCTTTCATTTCTTCAAATCAAAAAGCCATTTGGGAGTTAATAGGACATTTTATTTGCGAAGAGATTGTGCTTGGTTTGTTTCTGGCTCATTTCCTTCTCTGTGTAATCCCCGTTTAGTATTTTGGACTCAAAATGTCTTTCCAATATTTTTGAAACAAAAGAACAGTGAGATTTCATATTAACAGAATAGGAAAAATACTCCTCATTTTACTGATTCTCCCATATTTTTTTCCATTTAAACATGTCACTGAATATGACCTGAATCTGCAGACCAGTCTGAGTGACCTGATTTTTCTTTTCCATATGAGCTAGTTTTCTGAACTTTTTTTTCTTTTCCAGCTTTAAATAAAAGTGAACAAATCATGAGAGGCTTGGCAGGGAAAGGAGTACAGATGAATGAGGCAGAGCGTGGTGTGGTGCTACGTCTATGCTCGTGATGTTTATCTCCAGAAATCTTCTGTCACATCAAAAAAAGATGAAAAGTAATTAATGAAGGCTTATAAAGGGCATGATTCTTAGGTTATCTACACTAACACAGAGCAGGGCACCACAGAGTCTGTGTAGCTCATGTGCTGACACTCAGCTAATGCAGTTTCTCTTTGCAGTTCCAGATATTTCCTTTCCCTGGCTTCCACATTGATTTTTTTCCATATAAAAAAGGTCTCTCAGCATGCTCTTCTGATTCAGAAGGCAGTTGGAATGATGCTGTCAGGAAAAGTTCCCTTCCATTCTTCTCTAGCTGTTTTAAAGGGACTTTGGTAGGGCAGAACACAGTCTACTCGAACTCACTCCATGTTTTCTGGAATGACAAATTCCTCTGCAACATTTTTATGACTGCTTAGCACACAGCTACAGCAATAATTCCTGGAGCTGGAAGAGAGATATGCAGACTGAAGCTGTGAGGTTAAAACCTCTTTATTCCAAACAGAATAGAAAATGCTAAATAATAGAAGTCATTCTGCTGAGCAAGAGAATTTTCTCTTCAAAATAAAATACTTAATCATTTGAATCCCTATTAAATTTGACCATTTGGCAAAATCAGTGCCACACATAGCCCAGCTGATCACCTGCTTCCACTGTTTCCAAGGCAGAACTGCATCACTAATGCCATCAAACAAGTCTATCACTGCATCCTGTCATTTGTCATTCCACTCACACTGTACACACAGCCTTCCCTCTCAGTATTTGTGCTCTGTACGAGACGAAGGAAATGGCTTTGGTTGTTCTGCATGTGAATCTGTCACGCACCTTCTGTTAGTGACCCAGTTCTAATGGTATTCACAGACAAGTTCTGGGCTTTACACTGGAATACTAATGTTTGGCAATTGGCAATGTGCAGCCAGGCAGGAGGAAGGCACGGGACTGCGGCATGTGGTGCTGTACCTGCACAGTGTCAGTAATGACAAGTAATTAACAGGCTGCATGTCATCACCCTGACTCCTGCCAGTTTCCCCAACTCTATGCATGTGACAGCATTCTTTCTTCAAGATTCACAACAAAAAAAAAAAAAAAAAGCCAACACTCCAGCATGATACAACTAGAGAATACCAGTTATAAGCAAAATAAAAAGTACAGGTAACAAAGTCCCACAGAGCCAGCAAGATGTGCTGGGCAAAGCTTTGACTGAGACTAACCCATTGCTCTTTACAGAAGGAAGCATCATTTTGTTCAGCAAAGTTCAAGATCCCTATCCCAGCCCTGCCAGGCTGGCAATGCATGCTGCCTGCACAGCACAGGAGTGTAGCCACAGAGTGCAGCTCCCATCAGCACCCCCAAGCTCCAGGGAAATGGTGAGAAACAAAGGATTTTCCAAAAGAACACAGGAGAATTAGTAAGTCTGGGACCTTGACACAATCTAGGCAACATTTCTCATCATCTGGATCTAGCGAGGTCTGCTGTTTGAGAATCACAGAATATTCTGAGTTGGAAGGGACCCACGAGGATCATCAAGTTCACTCTTAAGTGAATGGCGCACATGGGGATTTAACCCAAAACCTTGGTGCTACCACCACCATGCTCTGACCAGCTGAACTCGTCCCAGGGTCAAGAAGGTCCATTTTAGACATTTGTGTAATTAATAAAAATACTCATAGTTACATAAGGAGTTTTTACAGGAGGGTTGTAAATAGTTATGTTTCAAGGCACAACTAAACATTGACTTAGGAGGATTAGGAAGAACTTTCTTACTAGCAGGTTTTTTCCATTAAAGTATACTATACCATATATTATTCCAGTGCATCTTCACTGGAAACTACTACTATTAGTCTGTTCTAGGGACAGACTAATGAAGTAAACCAGCAGACATATGAATGGCAATTACTAGATCTAGATATAGCAAAATTCTAGTCATAACTGGATATGATTTGCTTTCCAATAGTTATTTTCCTTCTTCGTATACCATGAAGGACACGTATCAGTGTTTGCAGTGATGCAGTATGTCAAAGTGACAGCTTTGCACTGCTCTAACCTTGTTCTAGGTGTCATATTTGCATCTGATAAGGAGGTAGAAGATAAAAATATGAAAATATGTAGTAGAAGTTCAAAATTATGGTTGTGAAGTATCAGGAGAGCCTAGTGCAATAGCTAAGTTAACAGCACTTCTTAGCTACAAGAACTCATCAAACACATTAGAGCATTAAACAGAGGAAGAGGCCAGTGAATGTGCTGTTCTCTGTCAGTTTGGGCTTGACTGTACAGCAATTGCTACAGTAGGGCTGCTACCCCTGTGTGTGAGCAAAGGACAAAATACATCCACACAAAAATATCAATATTTGTGTGTATTTCTGGAAGGTCCAAAAAGAGAAGCACATTAGGAAGGGGGAGAGATAGACCACCAGGAGTAGATTCAGATCCTAACTGTTGCCACCCTCTCTTTGGCACCCAAACAAACATGAGATTTAAGAAGGGCCAAGGGGAGGATTACACATGGTTCTACTGTTACTTACAAAAACACCTCCCAAACACATGACAAACACAAAACAGCAGCCCTGGAAATCCAACAGGTATGCTGGGAAGGCTGGCAGTGGGATGCTTTGAGAGACTTAAGGTGTCTCTGTTGAAAGAGAACAGTCAAAGAGGGCCTTAGATAACTGAGGAAGGATTTGGAAGCAAAAACAAGTCTTGGTTTATACAACAGAGAGCAGAGCCATTTGAGGGGTGCAGAGAGAGATGACAAAAAACAAACAAAAGTACGGCAAAAACCCACCTGTTTCATGAGTGTTGTGGTCAATTTTCTAACCACAGAATCATCACAGGACAATGAGTCAAGCTAACTAGGACTAATATGGCATGTATGGGAGTCATTCATCACAGACAGTGTGTCCTCCTTAACATTCATCCCTGCAGTGATGCCAACAGGAAAAGCTCAGCAGTGACTCATCTGGTGGTTTCCAGTCACTGCCTTCTAATATGTTGACCAGTATGATCTCACTGTTACCTTGTGCTTGCATTATTTGTTTTCTCTATAGACCTGTCAGCTCTTCATTTTTATTACAAGGTGTTCAACATAACAATTAAAAAAAAAAAAACAGCACAGAATGTCAACACAGTGGGGCACAGAGGCTGGCAGTTCTGACTGAAAGTACTACCAGTCCTACCCTCACATGTCTCTCTCAGTGTGATACCAACCTTTTCAGCAACAAAACTCTTCTTCAGCTGTGCTCTAAACTGAAACTCATTTACACAGAAACAGTGGAGGCAAGAGGAGCACCAGATTTCTTTTTGCTGTATCACTTTCCCCATCTGGTTAGGTGCACAATCCCATGTGAGTTGTGCCAGGACAATGGAGGGAAAGGAGCAGTCCAGGATCAAGGCACAGAGGAGACTGTGGGATGTGGCCACCCAGAATCCAGTAATGGCACCGAGTACTTTAAAACACTACATCACAACTTTAGGCAGGGACATCTAGGCATTATCTCTATTCAAATAATGATTACCCACAATACAAGTGTAAATTTTTTTTAAAATGTACTGCTATTCCCCTAAGAGGAAATTCATCACTCATAAGTGATTTCTACATAAGTGATGTAGAAAATTCAGTTAAATATTAATGGTCTAAATTCAAAGCATGATTGCAGCTGGTTATTTCTGGAGTATAGGTCAAATTTGACACAGATTTTCTTTGTCACTTGTGAAAGTCCCCTTCACACCAGTCAGGAGCTATCCAAACCCTTCTTTGTAGAAAAACTAACAGTAGTTGTTAGTGGTTCAAGGAACCCCACAGTAACAGACTAGCAGAATGTGAAAGGCAAATGAAAGACTAGGGCAAAGGAAGAGCATTCTGTTATGCTTTCAAGAGGTGCTTTCAACTCAGTAATAAGCTGAAATAAGTAGGTTTTTGTCCCCTTTAATTTTGAAAAGCCTAACGTGGGGCTTAAAATGACATTTTTACAATTCTAATTTTGTTGGTTTGGGTTGTGATTCCTTTTTAAACCTACCATTCATTAAAATATCTGCTTTTTTACCCACCACTGACTCACACTCTTCATTATATAAAATTACTGGTGCTTTTGTCATTCCTGTGCCCTGTTGGAGAACTAGCTCAGCAACATTTGTGTACTCAAATAAAACAAATAAGCCTTACTTTGTTCTGTGATGTATTCCTTACACCAAGAAAAAAAAATAGGAGAAATGCTATCAGTGAACTGAAACAAATCACACCTCAGATTCAGTAGCATGAAGATTTGACCTCAGCTGTTTTTCTCCAGAGTCACAAGTGCCAGACTGAGTCCATCTGGAGCGTCTCCCCTGGCATTCAGCTTGACTTGTCACATGATACATGCAACCAGGACCTGTGAAGACAAACTCTCAGTTGTAAAGTCTGACGTAATGGAAGTCCAGGTTATGTACTTCACTGATCATCAAATAACATGTTCTTGTTGCAACTTTAAAGGAAGTTTTGCATTTAAAGGAGCGTCACTAAATTAGATAACAACCTGTACTCCTAATTACATTTTTTGTTACAGTTAACAAGAAAAACACTTCCAACCTCTGAGCAGGCAGACTCATGCTGAGACATGAGGAACAAACAGATTAGTTTCATTAGCAGACATTGCCATGTCTAATAAAGCTGTAACAGGCCAAATGCTCTAATTTACACTCCTGAAACTCAGTCTCCCTCCAGTCACACTGTTGTTACACTTTCAGAGTGCCAAGAAGGGAAATGGATCTGGCAATTGTCACTGGTTGGAAGCACAAACAATTTTTCCCTTAACCACATCGGCTTTGCAGAGTTACCAAGAATATAAAAGCATGAAAGCTTGCTGCAGTCATTAAAGAGATCTGACTCACAAAGCAGGAATCACTCAGTTGAGTTACGAGATGTCAGTTCACATAGTTACTAAACTGATTGCCAGAAGCTGGGAAATTAGAAACTATATTTTTTAAACATTTTTTCCCTAATTTTCTGCCAATGGCTTGTGCCAGAAGGAAATTGCTCAGGTAGATGACTCTTGAGACCTAGTGTAGCAGTGTTTGTGGGTTTGGAATAGATGCATGGGTTTGCTAACACCATTGGCCACTATCAATTAGATCATCAGATGATAATAGTTTATTGTTGTGGTGCCTGAATTGTTGTCTGTGGTAATACCTCAAAATCATCCATGCTTTCACTCTAGCTTCTGAAGAGATGAATAGAAGTTACAGACTACTGATAATAAAGTTAAAATGAAATGACAGTAGGAGTCTTTAAAGTACAAGAATATCACTGAGTGCTTCAAATAAGTTAAATTTTAACAAATAAAGATAAATGACCCCTTCAAGTATGGGAAGAGGTGAGAAAATTCCTTTAACAAATTTCCCAGTATAAGATATCAGATAAAGCAATTGGCAGAAAATACTTTTAGAATAGAAGAATCAAGATTCACTTCTCAGGAGATGATCTATAGCCAACATCACTAAAAGCTCCTTAGCCTGAGCCTGCTTACATGTACTGCTAACCAAAGCCAAGTCTGGGAAATCACAAACATATGACAATTTTCCTTCCTGCTGCTAGAAACTCTGCCTAATCTCCCAGCAAGCGGTCCCATTTGGCTCATACTCAAAGCCTGAAAACGATCCCAGTTTCCTATAGCTTAATACAATTTGTATGCCAATTCAGTGAGCAGAGGCATTACAAGAACCTCCTGGCATGCTGACACCTCACCAGTGTCCATGTACTTCTCACAAACTAAGGAGGAAGGAGCAGAGCATGGACTGTTTCTGTGCTTTTCACCAGGCTGGCCAGCCTGTCCACTCCTCACAGGGTTGAAGGTCAATGTTCATATTATACCTTGGTCTTTATTTTTTATGACGACACAGATCTGAGTGCCGAGCAGCACACACCAATCCTTTATTTTGCAAAGCAGCAAGGAGCCCTATGAATTTCAGCCAACACTAGATCAAGCCACATGAGGTGAAAGCATGGATAATAAGCCATTAGATTTACTTCATTTTCTCCTATAGTTACTTTATGCCTTTTTAAACTTGTCTTAATTAAATTCATTCTCTAAACTTGCCTTAATTAAATTCATTCTGGAACATGAAAATTGCTCAGTTTCCACTCATCTGGAAAAGGCTCTTTTTAGGCCAGCAAGACTTTCACCTTGAGGCATTTACTAGAGCTAGAATAGGAATCAGTGCTTACAGCTTGTAGAGATTGTTTTATTATCATGCATGTGCCTTTGCACACTGAGAATCATACCACACTTCTACTGTGCCAAGGTTTGTATTTTCAAAAAAAAAAGGTTAGTAGATAATGGCCTCAGAGTGACTGACAAATCAGTGTTCTATTTAAAACACAAAACCAACAGATGCTGCTTTCTTTATGCATATAAATAATTGCAAGGTGCTGAGGGGTGCTGCTTTTTACAGTACAGCAAGACAACCTGTGAAAATGAGTGCAACAATTTATCATCACCACCAATGGTTTACATTTAGATGCAAATGCTCTTTGCAGAAAGCAGGTTTCCCAATGAAATCCCATCAAGAGCCACTATCAGTGGTACAATCAACCATTTCTTGTAGTGCTTGTGAGACTGGTTGTAAGGTACATATGAGACAGGTATAGAGCAACCAGGGTGAACAGCAGCAGGTTTTGAAGGGATCCTAAAAAGAGAGAACAAAGAACTGGGAATCAGGAGGTATGGACTATCTTCCAGGGAATGTAGTAAAATTACTGTGTAACAAGGCAAGCCATCAGTCAGAATTAAGTCAGTCAGGCTGAAATAAGAAGCATTTAATATCTTGAATTTACTGAAGCCTGAATTTGTGGTGAGAGCTCCATGAAACTGTTGTAGAAATTAATTTAATAATTAGTAATACAAGGAATCATGGAAAAATCAGGCAGGAGGGTTTAATGGCATTTGAAATACAGGAGAGCTATTGTTTTTCTAATTCTAACCCGTGTTTGTACTTTCCTCTTTATCAAAGGGCATTATGTGCTGGTCATTGCATCTGCTTTTGAGATAAATTCGTGTTAGCATTCCAAAGGGTCAAGGAACTCTTCCAGGGCAAACAAATTCTGGAACACTGATGCCAGATGGTGTGTATATAAAGTGGAAAATGGGAAAAGCAAATTACTGCCTTCCTGTTCCAGGGAGAAGTATCACCCAGAAGGAAAGCAAAAGAGGTGAGAAATTAATGAGAAATCAAAGAGATAGTTTTCTTCTTCTGTATAAATTTTTCTTTATACCTGAAAAGTCTAGGTACATAGAAGAACAGCAGTGCTTATTCAGACAAAATTATTCCAAAAAGTTAACAGGAATATTTAACTAAAGAATGAAAGGTTAAATTAATAATATGTACAAAGAATAATGCATTGATTTATGTAACAAGCTATAGATTTATCTTTATAGGTGACTAATGTATAGCCTGTGTTTAGAGAAATTTTGGTCATAAAGACAAAACATTTTTGTCTTGCATTTTTGACCAGACTCTACAAAAGAGGCAGAAAATAATGGATCAGATTCTTAAATATAAATTAGCATAGCTTCAACAAAGGTGAGTATTCAATATAATTTATCCAGCTCAGGTGGTGAACACTACTATCTCACTTGCAGCTGTACTTTATGCATCATTTCCATGTGAGCAAAAAAACACTTCAGGTTTTAGAACTAATCAATATTTTCTTCAAATCTAGTGAAACATACAAATGTCTCTTGGAAGGTTTAAAAAATAATTCAGCTCAGTGGAAGAAATTTTAAATAATTTTCTTAAATACTGAAAATTATAACATGTTTTCATATGTAGTCTGAATTATTGATGACTTTTATCACTTGCCACCAAACCTTAGAAATATGTAACAGAAGGCTAAGTGTTCAGTTATAAACAAATAGGAAGGGAGAATATGTCTTAGTATTTCTGTGTGCATCTTTGCTGAACACATTTTAATTGATTATACATGTAGTCTTTTAAATGCAGTCCTTCCTATTAATGTGATGGGATCTCCTAGAAATAAAGGATGTAAACAAAGACTTCTCTCCATACAGGAAAAAGAGCTGAAGAAGAATGCTGAGGTTTGCTATCACCCTCCTTGCTGTCATAACATCATCTACCTGCCAAAAATATGGATGTCTGGAGGGGGACACCCAAAAACTGAAGCCAGGTCCTGAGAAAAATATGCAAGAGTGCACTCTCTACTCTAAATGTAAGAGTGGTTTAATTTTTTTCCAAATATGGTCAAGAAGTAGAGAATTGTACATACTTATTGTTTTGGCAGTTCCCCTAATTTCTCAAAAATATATAAGATGCAGTATACATTGTATTTGAAAAGCCTCCTTCACTGGCATTTTGCTGCATGCAAACCAAGAGTAAGATTCTGGGTCTTAATAAAGTCAGCTGTAAAACTCTCATGGACTTCATTTATTTTCTTTTCAAAACTCTGATGCAGTTTGCTTTTCTTGTATTTCCATCTGCTTAAAAATGTTTACAGCAAAGACTATTTTGGTTTATTGTAATTAAGTATAAGAATCAATTGTAGCAGGCACCAAGTGGGAAAATTTGACATCAAAATTCTATTGTAAGCAAAGTACAGTACTTATTAAAATTCTTCAACTCTTTTTTTTAGTGTTTTGTAGTTTTCAAAGTTAGTATCCCTTGGGATGTAGTGTCTGGCAGAACATTGGTAAAATTCTTGGGATTCTCTGGGCACAACTTGACAAAGCACTGTTTATGCCAGTCTGCCTCACCTGGCATTTACACTGCCACTTTCACATCCAAAATTGTTAGAGCTTGAGTACATCTTCTAGTTACTACTAAGAGACTTTATCATATTATGGTTCAAACCAGATTAATCTTACATTTTGTGTCTTCCAAGTACAGTGTTAAAAAGGAACACTTATTGCAAGATCTTTGTTTTATTCCCAACAGCTTCCTGTTGCTATGCAGACTTCACAGAGCAATTGGCTCGTTCCCCGGTAATTAAAGTAAGCGACAGCTACTGGAACAGATGTGGGCAGCTCAGTAAATCGTAAGTCAGCTTTGATGTTTTCTGTGTCCTGCTTCCACTGATCTGAGCTGGAGCAGCCACCAGCTGCTGATGGACATTAGGTTACCCTAGAGACTATGTCACCCAGCCTAGCTCACATCACCCTTTCTCTATACCTGAGCAACCTCTGACTCTTATTCTCCTCTCTCACAAACCCACAAACCCCTAAGTCTACACAATTTCTGCCATTTTGTCAACACAGGGTTATGTTTTTTTCAAATTTGCTTTCAGTATAGAACCAGATCTAGCAATGCAATCCAGTCAGGTGGTAACACCAGTAGGTGACAACCACCCTGCACCTCTGTAACTCTCCAACCATCACCCACCAGTGAGAGTGATCCGCAATGAATAGAGACCAGGCTTCTTCCTTTCTTTAGAAAGCACATCAACTAGATTACTAAATCTCACCAAAAAAAAGCACAGGAGTCCAGAAATGAAATGGCTGAAAATGTAGAATAAGAATTCTTGTAGTCCTGTGGGTTTTGTAACCATGAAAAATGTCTCCTTAATTAAGATTTTTAGTACCCCGTTAGATGTTAAAGCTGTGAAACATGGCAAGTTATAGAAATAAAAGGATGAAAGTACAAAACAATTAAGCAAAAACAGATGTGAAAAAGTAACAGCTCTTGCCTGCCCCTCCCAGGAGAGCAGCACAGTATGCGATTTTAAGTAAATTCAGCTGGGCTGTGGGAAAAATCTAAAGAATAGTGAAACCATGAGGCTACAGCACAGACAAAGTTTTATACTATAGTTTTAAACTACATTTTATTATTGCCTGGAATCGCTGTTGCCAGGAAAACTCAAGACCTCAAAAGTTTACGGAAAGCTTACACAAATAGGGCTGAAATATGCATGGAAACATTTGTGCTGTAGCTGGCAGTGGTAATTGCACGGTCAGAGCCTGTGCTCTGTGTTCCTCTGGCATACACAATGCCAGAGGAATGAGTTTCAAACTTAGGCATTAACAGGGCCAAAGGATGCTTTTCTGTGTTTTTCTTCTAATCCATAGTAATGCATCCACATCAAAGCAGGCCTAGAAAACTGAGGCTGTAGCCTTGATGCTCAGAAACAAGCTTATTTGTGGCTTTTCTCATCCACCACAGCTGTGAAGATTTCACAAAGAAAATCGAGTGCTTTTACCGGTGTTCTCCACATGCTGCTCGCTGGATCCATCCCAATGACACTGCTGCTATTCAGGCTGTTCCATTGTGTCAAAGCTTTTGTGATGACTGGTAGGTTCAGCTTTTTAATCAAAGTATTTTTATTTAGTTTTAATATGCCATTGATTCAGTGGTGTTGCACCACCTTTTCTCTTGTTCTGCTTCTGAATTTCTTGTTTGCCATCTCTGCTTTTCTTTCTGCTAAGCTACTGCCCCCAAAATAATAATGACACAGGCTGTGAATGCAGGATGGAGACACTAAGATGAGTTTAGTGACTCAGGGACAGCACTGCCCTGCTCTGGGGGAGGGTGCCATGTAGTGGCATTGTGACAGAGGAGCTCCTGCCACACTGACAGGCACTGGCAGAAGCAGGGGCCTGCCCACCCTTCAAAAAGTCCATGTTTGTGAAGTATCATTTATGCAATTAGCATTTTCAATCTGAATACTTGATCATTATATGATACATTTGTTTTGTATGTATAAAATGCCTTACAAAATCAGTAAAGACATCAACTCATGTGGGATTTCAACGAATTATTGTTAAAAATTAGCTTCATTCCTTAATTTTTCACCCTTGACCTTATCCCTTCTATCATCACACTCTCTAAAATCTCTTCTAAAAGCCTGAATATCAGAGACAACTGCAGCCAACTAATGCTAAAATTATTAATAGCAATGAGCAGCATAATAACATTGAATTTTGTTTCCCAAAACACAGCATCAGAGAATCACATTATGTTTTGAGTGCAAGGCACGTGATAGGGCAACCCAGCACCCAACTGTCCTTAGTCTTGGGGCAGGAGAATTATATCCATGTAGGGTACTGAGATTTTTCCACTGGTACTTATCCAGCATATATCTCTCCCTCCCTCTCTCTCCTTTCCCTCCCTGTTTTGAGATGTTGGATCTTAAAACATCACTATGGGACACATAAACTCAGTCAGCACCTTACAAATGTTGTGCCCAGTCACTGGAGGAACTTGTCTGGACGTGTGTGTGAAGCACAAACACCCCAGGCTCTGTTCACACTATAGGATTATAAGTGCTAGCTTTCCATGAAAGTAATGGACTGTGAATGTCTGGATCCCTTAGGCTACTCTGAAAATAATGGAAAATCATTACAATACTTCTAAAAATGTTAAAAAAGAACATTTCTTAAAAGTACAGAAAATACAGAACTCGGTTGGGTTCTCTTGAGCTGCTCTCTGCCCTCCTTCCCTAGGGATTACACAACTCGAATATTATTGACACGTGGATCCATTTCCATTCGTTCCAAGCGCAAAATCATGTATGCAGTGCAGAATTTTGGTAGGCTTTGTCTTCAAATATGTCTCCATTGCTTTGTGCCAGTGGAGGAAACAAGAAGCATAGCTTGGATTCGTAATGGAAGTGAGTGAGAAAGGCTGATACATTTCTTAGCTTTCCTAGAGGTTTCTCTAGCAATGAATTTTATTTCTGT